GCCGCGGAGCCGTGGTGAAGTCGTCCCTCCCCGCCCACTCGGCCGGATCGACGTTGAGGAAATCGTGGCCGGCTCCGAGGGCGGTGATGAGGCCGACAGAGTTGGTCGTCGCAAACGACGCCAGCGAACGCTGCTCCACTGCCTCGAGGGCGACGTGGGCACGGCGAGGCGGGTTCTTCTCGCCCAGCCGCTCCTGATCGTTCGGGCAACATTCAGCCCAGCCAGTGTCACGCATGGCAAACAGGGCACGGTTAAAATACACATGTTCACCCTATTGAGACCAGTTGTTATGGTGGAAACTTGGGCCGCTTTGCGGGACAGGAAAATATCATCAGATCGGAATGAAATTTTGCACAGAACCTTGTACCATAGTATCGACAAGAATTCCGACCCGGCCCGACGAATCCGACAAACTTTTTTTTTTGCCATGAAAATGTGGACCACTCTAATATATATATACTCACACAATAGCATGTTGGCTATAAAAGCAGAAACATCGGAGAAGACTAGACAGAACTTTCACATTATGTAATCTGTTGAGCAACAACTGTGTAAATGGAACTGAATATTTACCTTCAAGTTGTTGATCTGTAATCAAGTTTGAATTTTGCTTGCTTGATAAATAGTTTCTAAGTACTAATTAATTATATTGCAATCAACACCATACCACAGGATTGTGGTATGACAACAACATTAGAATAATGAACATTTCGATACGAATTACCTGTCCGGATGTAATAATGACAATAGCTAGGGAACATGAGTTTAATTGTACACCTACAATGGTTGTATCATTTAAACTAAATGTTTAAATTAAAATATGACAAAAACATAAAACACAACAAATGTAGATTTCTCAAAGTAAGTGCTATTATCGATTAGGAATGGGCGAGTACTGATAGCAGGTATCGGAACCGGGCTGATGCCCGGCCTTATTTCAAAACAAAGTAATGGCATTGGTGACGACTCAAGAGTTGAGTATGTGTTCTGGTATCGGGCTGAAAAAAAAAAGTGGTATCGAACATCCCTACAATCTATCCAAATTGCCAACCAAATTGTTTTTATTTGGAGGGGATATAAAATATGTAACAAACCAGAACTCCTTTAATCCAGCCAAACTTGACGACTCCTTTAGAGTCAGCGGCTTCCTTTGCTGCAGCTTCCTCAGCTGGGGTCAGCTCATCACCATTAGCAAACCCATCTTCAAAAGGTTCCTGAAATATCAGAAAAAAAGGAAGGAAAAGAGAGTGCGAAAGAGAGACAGACAGACAGACAGACAGACAGACAGACAGAGAGAGAGAGAGAGAGAGAGAGAGAGAGAGAGAGAGAGAGAGAGAGAGAGAGAGAGAGAAAATTGTTCCCTTTGAATAACACAAAGATAGACTGTTGAGACAACTGCAATGACCTCATGCTGAACATTTGTACACCCGCCAAGGAAATCCATTCTTTTAGTCTCTACAGTGTATATGTCTCACTTTTTTTTATCGAAATTTGGCTGGTCCTGCAACTTACACTCAGGTACAACTTTTATATATGAAAAACAGAACTCTCCCAAAATCCCCATTCGCTAATTTTGTTGACTTTCTTTTAGCGGTTGGTGTATTCCCGCCCTTCGCCAGAAGGTGGCGGGAATGAAGCAAAAGTATTTGTCTTGTGCAAAAAGGAAGTAAAAGTGGAAGCAGAAGTAGTACACGTGCACCCCATTTGAAATTCATATGCAAATGATTTTGTCTGATTGTTAAGTCTATGCAAACGGAACTCAGCATAATTTATGTAATCAACTTTTAGAGAATAACGTTTTGACCTCCCAATGATGATAGTATTTTTTTTCTTCAAAAATAAAAACATACTGGTTCAACTGCTCTGTTCCAAATTATTATGTACAGTAGTTTTTCAAGAATTTCAATAGGTTCAAAGAACTGAAACTCGTCATTTGTTCAATCTGTAGAATGGGGAGTTTATATTTGCAGAAATCAAAATCTATTTCAATCAAAAACATCTTAACAGGTCAAGTGGCATTCTAACTTAAGACGCTCTGATTTGGTAGCACTTTCACAAGTCTTGCATCTATTGAATCTGTGATTTTTGCAAATTCTCTGCTTTAACCTATTTGCAGAATATCAGAATATATTCCAAAGATGCCTTTTGGATGTGACCTGCTTCCCACAATTAATAGACCTTTGCTTGAAGATGGTCCAGAGCAACAGTATCCAACATGCGCCTAATCCAGCCCGCAAGCAGGTTTGATGATCCAGCCCACAAAATGATTTTGCCAAGTTTAACAATGAGATGGCTCTCAAATATAAAAATGCATATGGCCCGACTAAATAAACAGCCGCGCCATATTTGCCACATACAAAAGTAACAAAGGTCTCTATGATTATTTGGCTGCACTTCTACAATAACCATAAAGCTTTAGTTTCATTAGGTAGCATAATGAGACAGTACTTTACAGTACAGACTGTTCATCTATCAGTCATCGTGTTTTTTTTTTTTCATTTTTACAAATAGAGCTAGGATTAACGATGAAAGTTATTCAAGGAATTGTCCTGGACGTCACTATTTTACAAACAAGTCACGATTTGTTTAAACAGAAAGTGTAGCGGAACATATATCAAACAAATGTGTTTAACAAAACACACATTCAACTAATGGTAACACAAACACATATGACAAAATCCTTCATTAAATTAACTTCATTAAAGGCGGCTCAGTGGTCAGTGGTTAGCGCGTCAACCTCACAGTGCAGAGGTCGTGGGTACAATCTCGGCTCCGGATTTCCTGTGTGGAGTTTGTATGTCCTCCCCGGCCTGCGTCAGTTTTCTCCGGGTACTCCTGTTTCCTCCCACATTCCAAAAACATACATGGTTAGCTGATTGAACACTCTAAATTGTCCCTAGGTGAGTGTGACCACAGATGGTTGTTCGTCTCTGTGTGCCCTGCGATTGGAAGGCAACTGGTTCAGGGTGTCCCCTGCCTACTCCCCGAAGACGGCTGGGATAGGCTCCAGCACCCCCGCGACCCTTGTGAGGATAAAGCGGATTGGGAAATGGATGGATGGAATTTCATTAAATAAATGCATTGTGTCACACAATGCATTCTGGGAACCTAGGATTAACGATGAAAGTTATTCAAGGAATTGTCCTGGACGTCACTATTTTACAAACAAGTCACGATTTGTTTAAACAGAAAGTGTAGCGGAACATATATCAAACAAATGTGTTTAACAAAACACACATTCAACTAATGGTAACACAAACACATATGACAAAATCCTTCATTAAATTAACTTCATTAAAGGCGGCTCAGTGGTCAGTGGTTAGCGCGTCAACCTCACAGTGCAGAGGTCGTGGGTACAATCTCGGCTCCGGATTTCCTGTGTGGAGTTTGTATGTCCTCCCCGGCCTGCGTCAGTTTTCTCCGGGTACTCCTGTTTCCTCCCACATTCCAAAAACATGCATGGTTAGCTGATTGAACACTCTAAATTGTCCCTAGGTGAGTGTGACCACAGATGGTTGTTCGTCTCTGTGTGCCCTGCGATTGGAAGGCAACTGGTTCAGGGTGTCCCCTGCCTACTCCCCGAAGACGGCTGGGATAGGCTCCAGCACCCCCGCGACCCTTGTGAGGATAAAGCGGATTGGGAAATGGATGGATGGAATTTCATTAAATAAATGCATTGTGTCACACAATGCATTCTGGGAACCATGGATATGCAAAACAGGTAAATATGATACGCCCATGCCCTGCTGCGACATTAAAGCTTGTACAGGCAAAGTGTTTCCGTTCTCCATGTTCGTGAATGTCACAAAAACAAAACAAAAACAATCCAGGAATTATTTTCTACATTGATAGCACATACTTTGGGGCTGACATGAATTAAGCTTCAAATCGGTTATGAAATGAGCAAGTTATGAATAATGGTCCCTCTAATTTTCCATGTGTCTAAGCATTCACACAAACTCCGAAAGTATTCCTTGGCCCATCGTGAGCAACATTCACGGACATATATATGAACAGACGAATAATGCCGCTTATCCGCCATTGCGAGAATTGAAGCCATTGGCAGCCATCTTACATTTGCACATTGATTTCTCTGCGGCGTTTTCACATACTTTTCTGTCTATGGTGAAAATGCCACCGTGTATGGCATACAGTTGTACAGTACCAATAAGTCTGGAAGAAGCGTGACATGCACATTTCATCATCTCGTCATTGGTGAGTGTGTGCGTGTCAATGTATGCTTCAATCTATTATACAACAACTGAGTGTGGCCCCTCGGTCACGCTACTGAGACGAAGTGGGAATGGCATGGTGTGCTGTTTGTCGATTAAACTGGGGTGGGAAAAAAAGGAATGAGTGTCGAAATGTAATGTGTGTGCATGGTGCACGCCAGTGTCATCTTGTGCGCTGTAAGGGTGAGAGAAATGGGCAATTGCTCAGCATGCAGCTTAGAGGGAATATTTTGATCTGTGAGCAGGACATCTACATATCATGGCCGTTGAAGCGCTTGTCCATTTGTAACAAGCTAATAGCTTGATGATCGCTGAACTGAGAGGAAGTGGGAAACTACACTCGCGTTCACATTAGCATCTAGCTTCATTGCTTCGTCGCCGCTCAGCACAGGTAAAAGCCTTCGATCACTGCAAAAAGATTCACTGAGGCCGGGGGCAATCTGGGCCTGTACATGATGTTTGGCTTAGTCTATCTTGGCTTTAGTATTTCTTTTCTATTGACTTTTTTTAAAACAGCTGAGCACACAGTGCAACAGTATTTGACATGACGTCAATATTTCTCCTTCAAGAATTTTTGTATTTGACATGTCGTCAATATTTCTCCTTCAAGAATGTTCTTGTTCTTCTGTCAAAGACAGGTATGTATATCATTACGAGGGTGCCACCCAGTGTTCAGACTGAGTCACGACAGTTTATTTAAGCAGTAACTGAAGAACGAAATGCTGCGAAACTCTGGTTAAATGGTATCTATTCCTAAATGCTACTTGAACGCCTGCTGTATTCACTTGAATTCGTTGCACGTGACTGTATTTGAAAAGAAGTTTGACAAACTCGAATTGGTAATTTTTCCTGCCACTGGATATTTGTGTTTCATTGTGTAACTTGATTGATAAGACGTACAAAAAAAAGTAGTGTGTTTCTGGTAACCCGACCGACCGAGAATTTCTACGTCGAAAAAAAACTTTACGGTTGGCATTTTTTTTCAAATAACCCTCTACATTTTTGTGTAGAGGGTTTACAGCGGTGCAAACTCTCGCGATATTCACGTTGAGCGCGTGCGTCGTTTGCCCTGTCGTCTGTCAACAACATTGAAACATGGAAACATGTTTTGTCCGACGACAGTTTAAACCGCGTTTTCTGTGTTACAGTCGCATGCTCGCACCGTAATGTTAAGAAAATAGCATCCATTGATGTATCGAAAAAATTCTGCGATCAATGTTTTTTTGTTTTATGTTTTATGGTTAATTTGTTTACATTTTTGATGGGAAAAAAAAAAGAAAACTTTGGCCGACCTACCGACCCAATGCTGAAATTTCATGTTACCGGAAACACACTGTCTTTTTTGTTTGGCCTAAAATAATTTTGATTTCATTTTATTGGGTGTTCTATACAAAATGTGTATTTTATGGTCATATGGAAAAAGAAAAAATTGAAAATTGCCACTAATTTCATGCAATTTAAGGAAAATGCTATATTAGGATATACAGGTGCCCAAAAGGAAGTGGTATTTTTGGTGTGCGTGTGAACAATATATTTACAGTTGACCCCCACTATTGACAGTCAATAGAGGACAAGCCGGCCCACCAAGTTATAGATCATGATTTTACCACTCTGTCAAATTTGGGAATGAATTTTGCTCCACGTGGCCGCTGAGCTAAAATGAGTTTGACCGACCATGACTTTCTCTCCTTTTATGCCAAGAGCAGCCAATGATGCAAAGGTTTTCTTTCCGGCATGACATTGTTCACTGATGAGTGCCGTGCAACTCCGGATGGTCAACATGGATGGAATAGGTTGTTGGATGTCCTCCATGTCCCAAACAAGGTTGTAGCATCAGCAGGGAGGTAGTGAAATCATGTTTTGAGCCGAAATCATGGGGAGAAAGCTGACCTGCCCCTTTCAGGTCCCAGGAGGTGTAAAAATAACCTCTGAAGAGTTTGTGGAGTGGCTGACTGACTCCTTTCTTCAGTAATTTATGCACC